CCTTGACCTGCTGGCAATGCTCCTACTAATGTAGCCCAGTATGCCATGAGTCTTCAATGGCAACAATGGTACATTGCCAACTCATATCCATCTTGGGCCATTTTTACATGTGCTCCTGATGCAGCACCCGTCACGGTCGGGACCAGGTGTGTAAGTGGTGCAGTGCCTATCAGCACTGGGAAAATGGAACATTGAAGTGATGTGCGAAGCTGCCAGCGCACATCGATTTACGTGTTCAAGTAGACTCGACTGATCAAGTCCACTCTGACATGCTGGATTTCGAAGGAGACTCCCCGCATATGTGTAACTGCCTTTACTGTCCACCCCTAGGTCCTTTTCACCAAGCTGTAGCAATCCATAAGATTCTTTTGTCTTAAGTGCGGGACTTTGCATTAGTCCTTATTGAACCTCATGAGATTTCTTTTGGCTCAATCCTCCAATTTGTCTGTCACTCTGAATCCTAGCATTGCCCTTCAGTATATCTACTACATCCCCCAGCTTGGTGTCATTGGTGAACTTGCTGAGCGTACAATCCATCCCATCTTCCAGCTCGTTAATGAAGATATTGAATAAAACCAGCCCCAGGCCCAAACCCTGGGTCACTCCACTTGATACCAGCTGCCAGCAGGACATTGAGCAATTGATTACCACCTGTTGAGCCAGACAATCCAGTCAGCTTTCTATCTACTTTACAGTCCATTCATCCAATCCAAAGTTCCTCATTTTGCTTGCAAGAATGCTGTGGGAAACAGTATCAAAAGCCTTGCTAAAATCAAGGTATATTATGTCATAGAATCAGAGAATCAATGGACTGGAAGGGACCTGTAAGATCAAGTCTGGTCCCCTGCCTTAGGCAGGTTGTTATTGAGCTCAAACTAGCTCAATGAGGTGCTTATCCAGTCTCCTCTTGAACACCTCCAAGGATGGCAACCACACCACCTGTGCTGGGAGTGTGTTCCAGCTTCTAGTTACCCTTATGGAAAAGAAGTTCTTCCTTATGTTCAGCCTAAATCTTTTCTCTCTTAGTTTGTGCCCACTCATCCTCATCCTTCCAAGGGGTGCCTTCCTGAAAAGTTGTTCCCCCAGATCTTGGTGCTCACCCCTGAGGTATTTGTAGGCAGCTATCAAGTCACCTCTCAGCCTTCTCTTACTCAGACCGAACAAGTCCAGCTCCTGGAGTCTCTCCTCATAGGGTTTATCCTCCAGGTCCCTAACCATTGCAGGTGGCCCTTCTCTGCACCCTCTCAAGCTTCCCCACATCTTTCCTGAAATGCGGTGCCCAAAAGTGGGCACAGTGCTCCAGTTGTGGCCTCACCAATGCTGAATAGAGAGGGAGAAGCACCTCCTTGGATCTATTGGCAACACATCGGCTGATGTACACCAGAGTTCTATTTGCCCCGCTGGCTACTTCATTGCACTGTTGGCTCATATTCATTTTCTGGTCGATTGTGACCTCCAGGTCCCGTTCAGATGCTGTGCCAGCCCATGGGCTACCACTTATTGTACAGTTATGGTGAAGGTTCTTCCTACCCAGATGAAGGACCCAGTACTTTTTCCTGTTGAACCTCATCTGATTCCATTCAGGCCATAGAAACAGTCTGTCAAGGTTGTCCTGGATCCTTCCCCTATCCTTTGGTGTGCCTGCATTTCCCCACAGCTTGGAATTGTCCGCAAACTTAACCATAGCACTTTCCACCCCCACATCCAAGTCATTAATAAGTATGTTAAAAAGCATGGGTCTCAGCACTGATCCCTGTGAGTCACCACTGGAGACAGCCCTCCAGGATGAGGCCATCCCATCAATTACAACTCTCTGGGACCAGCCTCTAAGCCAGTTATTCACCCACCTCACTGTAGGCTGGTTGAGGCCAGCAGTACCCTCTTGTTTAATTGAGAGAATTTCAGGGGAGACAGAATCAAAGGCTTTACTGAAGTCTAAGTAAATGGTATCAACCTTGTGTCCCTTGTCCAGCTGGTTAGTTACCTGGTCATAAAAGGACACAAGATTAGTCAGGCATGATCTACCCTTCACAAAGCCATGCTGGTTGTTTCTTAATATCCCACCAGTTACAAGTTTGTGATTGATGGCCTCCTTAACAATTTAACATTTTTTTCCCCTAGGACTGAAGTCTATCGTTTGCAAGGACATCTCTCCTCCCTTTGGGTACCATGTTGGCCCTCTTCCAGTCATCCAGGACCACCCCTGAGTTCCACAACTTTTCAAATATTTTCACCAAAGGTCCTGCTATGAGTTCAGCCAGTTCTTTCAGGACTCTTGGATGTAGGTTGTCTGGCCCAGCAGACTTCAAAATGTCCAGTTGTTCTAAGAGGACCATCACCTGTTTGGGGCTGATTTAATGTGGTCTGTTGACTTCCCCATATTTCTTGGGTCTCTGGACAGGTGGATAGCTCCTGTTAGCTTTCTGAAATATCTGGATGTGAAGTATGTGTGAAGCTTTCTGGAATACCGGTGATGTGAAGTATGTATTTAGGAGCTCTGCCTTTTCATTGGAATTAACTGTGGGCTGCCCTTCTGTATCCAGTAGGAGGCCCACAGTGGAGCTTGATTTTATTTTCTTGCTCCCCACTACTACACGGTCCCCACCAGCTGCTGTTGCGGCTGCAGCAGCTTAGCAGACAGGCTCAAGTAGCTGTCTGTAGTGGGATCCCCTGGACTTCCAGGCTCCCAAGGAGCTGGAGGTTTCCCTGGGTCCCCAGATCTCACCCTGGAGTGGTGGGGAGGGTTGGTCCTTTGTCCCCTTTACCTATGATCCAATGCTGGAGGACTATCTTTCGGCATGTAGGGCTTCAGCTGCCCGGGGGCACTACAGGCATGGGGTGTAATGTGCATCGCCACAGGGGTGCCTTGTGGAAATGAGAGTGCCTGCCAGTGCCCCATCCTGCGTGAACTCCCGCACCATGCATGGCTTCCTAGGGGCCTGGGCCAAGTAGGAGCTATGGGCGGGGTGTGACCCTCCTCGGCTCCTCAGCAGCCCCCCCCCCCCCCCCTAGTGCCC